GAGGTGACAGCAGAGCTCTGCTGGTGATCTGCTCCAACCTTGGGAGGGAATTGTGGGCTCTGATGGGATCAGGATGCTCCCAGAGCCCTCTGAGGTGACAGCAGAGCTCTGCTGGAGATCTGCTCCAACCTCGGGAGGGAATTGTGGGCTCTGATGGGACCAGGATCTCCCAGAGCCTTCCGAGATGACAGCAGAGCTCTGCTGATCATCTGCTCCAACCTTGGGAGGGATTTGTGGGCTCTGATGGGACCAGGACGCTCCCAGAGCCCTCCGAGGTGACAGCAGAGCTCTGCTGGTGATCTGCTCCAACCCTGGGGAGGATTTGTGGGCTCTGATGGGACCAGGATGCTCCCAGAGCCCTCTGAGGTGACAGCAGAGCTCTGCTGGTGATCTGCTCCAACCTTGGGGAGAATTTGTGGGCTCTGATGGGACCAGGATGCTCCCAGAGCCTTCCAAGATGACAGCAGAGCTCTGCTGATGGTCTGCTCCAACCCTGGGGAGGATCTGTGGGCTCTGATGGGACCAGGACGCTCCCAGAGCCCTCCAAGATGACAGCAGAGCTCTGCTGATGGTCTGCTCCAACCTTGGGGAGATTTGTGGGCTGTGATGGGACCAGGATGCTCCCAGAGCCTTCCAAGGTGACAGCAGAGCTCTGCTGGTCATCTGCTCCAACCTCGGGAGGGATTTGTGGGCTCTGATGGGACCAGGATGCTCCCAGAGCCTTCCGAGGTGACAGCAGAGCTCTGCTGATCATCTGCTCCAACCCCCGGGGAAATCTGTGGGCTGTGATGGGATCAGGATGCTCTCAGAGCCCTCCGAGGTGACAGCAGAGCTCTGCTGATGGTCTGCTCCAACCCTGGGGAGGATTTGTGGGCTCTGATGGGACCAGGATGTTCCCAGAGCCTTCCAAGGTGACAGCAGAGCTCTGCTGGTGATCTGCTCCAACCCCCGGGGAAATCTGTGGGCTGTGATGGGATCAGGATGTCCCCAAACCCCTCTGAGGGCAGGGGTGGGTGGGATGGAAGAGGCTCTGAGAAGGTTTTGGTCCCCAAGGGTGCTTGTGGGGTCAGAGGATGCTCTCAGAAGATGTTCTGCTCTTGGGGGAATGGTCTGTGGAGGATTTTTCAGGGCGATGCTCTTGGAAGATGCTATTCCCTTGAAGGATTCTTTTGTAGGAATTTTACGGGGAGATGCTCTTTGTAGGATTTTTTGGGGGATTTTTTGGGAGATTTTTTTGGGAGGTGCTCTTTAGAGGATGCTCTTTGCAGGTGGTTTTTAGGGGATTTTTTTGGGGGACATTTTTTGGGAGATGCTCTTTTTTCGGGGGATGCTCTCTAGGGAATTTCTTTGGGGGATGCTCTGGCTTTTTGGGGGATGCTCTGGGAATGCTCTTTGGGAGATGCTCCTGGGGGATTTTCTTGGCTGATGCTCTTTGGGGAATTCCTTTGGCAGATTATTTTTGGGGATGCTTTTGGAGGATGCTCTTTGTGGTATTTATTTGGGGGATGCTTTTTGGGAGATGTTTTTTGGGGGAGGCTCTTGGGGGATTTTCTTGGCTGATGCTCTTTGGGGGATTCCTTTGGCATATTTTTGAGGATGCTCTGGCAGGCAGTGTTCTTTTGGGGTGGATGCTCTTTAGGGGATTTCTTTGGGGGATTTTCTTGGCTGATGCTCTTTGGGGGATTATTTTTGGGGATGCTTTAGGAGGATGCTCTTTGGGGTGGATGCTCTTTAGGGGATTTCTTTGGGGGATTTTCTTGGCTGATGCTCTTTGGGGGATTATTTTTGGGGATGCTTTTGGAGCATGCTCTTTGGAGGGCTGCTCCAAGAAGATGCTCTGGAGAGGATTTTTTGGGACAACGCTCTGGGGAGGAGTGCTGTGATTAAAAGGGATTGAAAGGGACAGTGGCTCGTCCCAAATGGGAGCAATGGTGAAGTCAGGATGAGCATCCACATCTCAAGGCTTTCACATCCCTCCCTCACTCCCTGAATCACGTCACCTTTCCCCACTCTGTGTAATTTCCATATCTCCTGGAGTCTCCATCCTCAGGGAAGACCCACAAATTGTCTGTGCACACCCAGGGCTCTTTTCTTGCAGGAATGGGAAGAGAAGGGAGCTGAGGACACCCTCACACAGGCAGATTCTCTTCACAGCCCCCCAAAGTGGATGGATGAGGCATCTTGAGTGCTCTTTAGGGAGCGAGGACCCCAAACCCACTGGAAACAGCGAATCCACCCAACATGACGCTGCTTTTGCCAAGATTTGGGGTGAAACCGAGGGAAATCCAACCTGGGGGTGCTCCCATGGGTTCTCAGTGCCCTCGGGGGGTGGCACTCACCTGGGCAGCGGTAGAGCTTGCGGGCCTGGGCAATGTCCCCTTTGCTGAGCCGTGTCCTCTGGCCGATGGCGGGCCGGACGCCGTTCACGTCGTATTTGGGCAGGATGGTGTCCAGGAAGATGCCCCTGGGGCAGGAAAGGGATGAGCTGGGTGGGAATCGCCGGCCCTGCGGCCTCACCACCGGGGAAGGATGCTAAAAACAGCCTGGCTAATTAAAGCAGCCTGGCTAATTAAAGCCTGCGGGCCGGTGAGTCAGCCAGCAGGGACGTGTCCCCAGCGGAGGTGACCTCGGAGACAGCAATTCCCTGCTCTGGGAAGGGACCTGAGGGGTTCCATCCCACCCAGAACACCAATGAGAACATTCCTTGGAGGGACTTAACTCTGTGCACAGCTGCTAACCACCCTCAGGGGTTGGGGACACCGTGCCACTGCCCCCAGGATGTGAGGTGACACCAGGGGACAGCCCAGGCTGTACCTGGAGAAGGTGTTCCTGGCGTAGTGCATGATGCTGTCGAAGTCATAGGTCTCCCCCAGCGACTCCACCTCCTCAGGCTCCATCTTGAGGAAGTTGTATTCCTGCCCTGAGGAGCACAGGATGGGGGCACTGCCAGGGGAACCCCAATTTCGGCAGCAGGGATGAAGAAGAAGAGGAGAAAGAGAAGGAGGAGGAGGAGGGAAGCTCATCCCCACCTGGCTGGATGTTCTCCCTGATGATGGAGACGTGGTCATCCCTGTCGGGGCGCGTGTGCTCGTGCCAGAAGCCGATGACGTGGCCCAGCTCGTGCACCACGATGCCGAATTTGTCGCAGTTTTTGCCGATGGAGATGGCCTGGGGTCCCCCTCCCCGGCGGCCCACGTAGGAGCAGCACCTGCAGGGCAGCAAGCAGACGGTTCCTGGCTCTCTGCTGTGGACATCTGTCACAGACATCTTTTATGGAAAAT